CAACCTTGAAAACAAAAACTCTTTCATTTTGCATATCCTTACACATTTAATATTTTGTAATAGACTAGTAGTGTATGGATGTTTGTTTATTAGGCTCTTATTTTCGAGTGCAGATGTAGTACTTAAACGACAAATGTGTTTTAATGTTTTGAAATAATATTTATGTGGCAATGTGTGGTATGTGCAAATTTAAGAAAAAAAAAAATTTAACGGGTCATAATGGGTTTGGTCATTTTACCCATTGGGTAAAGTGACCCAACCTGTTAAGGACCCGTTAAGGATCCGTTAAGATAACGGGTGTGACATGACGCGACCCGTTAAGATAACAGGTGTTACACGAACACAATAGACACGACTCGTTTACCGGGCCTACTTGATGGCCTAAGATAGACCTGATCCAAAATTACAAATGCTTTCCCGAAAATTGGTTTGTGTATAAGACTCACTTGTATGAGCGAATATGCCAACAAGTGTGCTAGTTTTATGGATAAATAAAAGTTGAAAGCAAAAGCAAATAGATACAAATGAAAAGTGAATAAAAGAGTTATGAAAGTTAATAGATGAACCGTAACTGTGAAAATCAAAATTAAATATATTAAAATGAAAAGTGAATAGAAGAGCGATAAAAATTAGTATACCTCTGATAAATCATGGATACGATTATTTAGAACTGCAAATGATTAAAGCTCTTCAAAGCTATCACCGTATTCCGCTTCATCTTGGTCATCAAATGCCTCAAAAATTTTCATCATTTTCTCTACATATATCAAAATCTAAAGAAATTATAGATCATGGTATTCTTGTTTGTAATCATGTACAAAAAAAACTAGCCTTAGGTCCCTTTTACATTGAAGAGGAAAGATCTAGAATATCGTTTTCAAAAAAACAGTGGGCATAATTCTGTGTGCAATATTAAGTTTTGATACGCTTTATCTGTTTTTGTTCCTTTGGACACGTTTGAAAATGATCCATCCTTATCTTATCTTAATTACTAGACAATGAAAGAAATTTTCACAAATTAACTCTTCTGTTTCAATAAAAACAGTTAATTTCAATTACCGCTTGAGGGCTTTACTCACTCTGCATAACATATAATTGAAAAAGATGGGTTGCGTGTGAGCCGAGTAACGTAGGTGGGTGGATCGAACCATCAACTCCTGGGGCTTCGTTCCCCTTTTCTTCTTGGATCACCGCTTTAAGTCTTAAGGTGACAAAAGGTAGAAGAGGGAAAGCCGCTCTATTTACAATTAAAAAAAAAGAATTTAGGCACAACCTTTTCCACAGTTACAAAAGAAAAGCCTTTGCTGCGCTTTGGAAAGAGCTAGAAGCCAAAAAAAGTATACATTGGAGGTTTGGACTGCTTCATCTTGATTTTGAACATGGAATTTCTTCTTCTGAGGTAGCAGAAAGGCAAGAAAGACTAATCTTCGAATTCCACTTAACAATCTTTATGAGCAGCATACCAGTGTATTTAATGATTTCTGGTGATGAATATATTCTAGCTACCTTTCTCTGGCTAACGCGAATCTGTTTTATTGTCCAAATCTCTAAGAGCTGAATGATGTCACTTAAGTGTTGAGCTTTCAAAGGCTTTTTCAAGACGACCCGAGGTCTTCATTTTATCTAGGGCTAACTACATTTGACACCCTCCATATTTAGGGTGATCTTCAAAATGGGTCACGAGTTTTTAATTTCCCACATTGCTCTCTAAGGTTTAGCAATTTAAACCTTTTGTCTAGTGAATTATTTGAATTTTTGTTAAATTAATGACATGGTGGGCATGTAACCCATAAATGAGTTGATATGTAAGCCACATTTACACCACACTGACTAAAAAACTCCTTGATTAAAAAATAATTAGACCCCCAAATATACAAAATGAGTAAATTGATACAATTTTAAAACTTTAAGGGCCAATGTGAGAAAATTGATATCTCATTGTGCCCATTTTAAAAAGCACCTCAAACCTTGAGGGTGTAAAATGTAGTTAGCACTTTTATTTACTTTGGTTCTTGAATTTTTTTTTTTTTTTTTTTTTGGGACAAATAATAATGTTAGTAGTTTAAATTGTTAGTTGCTAAGGGTAAGATGGATCGGTGGAAATCGAACCCACACCAAGAAGTATAGACATGATTGTTTTCCGACACTACAGTAAACCCCTATCTACGTTTCTTGAAAATCTTTCGAACGATTCTTAGATGCAATCCAATCATGATTAAATGAATTCGTATGAGTGAAGAAGTTGATCAGTAAGGACCTCGCAAAATCAGACACAAGAACATAAATAAGAACCTGCTTCCTTCTCTCCATAATCCAACTTTTGGAGTCTGATCCACTACAACATTTCAAGTGTGAAAATCTATTTGATCCATAAGAATCATGTAATTCTCTGAGAAGTTGTTCTTAATTTAACCTGGAGAAAGAATAATTCAAGCTTTGAAGATGCCTTCCAAAGTGGGAAAGAAGTTCCTTCAACCCACAATGATAGTTTTTCTCCTCAAACCTTTTATTTTCACTACGTAAAGGTAAGGTTGAAGTGGAGTCTGATGGAGAAAATCATGATCATCTACCTCTGTCCTTTTGGACACCTCGCCTAGACTGCACTATATCCTGATCTACTCAATGAGCAATTCACCAAAGTCGTTTGTTGACGAGGGCGTTGGTTAGGTCAACGACCTGCTGGGATGAGTGTTGTTAATAATTTAGGGTGGAAGAGCTCAAGTGATGTTTGTCTACATGAGTGGTGGAAGTGTAATGAACTGCAGGGGCAAACTTGGACCCTAAATGGGCAAACATGAGGAAAAATAGGGTGAACATATCTTTGGTTTAGATGCAGGTCTGGTGGCCAGAATCGGTCTTAGACTGGTCTAGGCCGTGGGGTGAGTAGCTAGAGCAAGTCGTAGAGCGGGGCAACCCACCTGGTTGGTTAGGCTGTCCGCTGGGCTCACGCGTAGGCTGCCTACCTGTGGGTCTGCGTTGCAATGGCTACAACTTAAGTTTAGGCTTGTTGTCTGGGCTGTTAAACCTGCTGCTGCAATTGCTGCAGTGGGCTGGGTCTCCTGCCTTAGTATGTCGTGGCAGCTGCTCCAATTTGGGCCTCCGGCCCTAGGTGGTGATGGCAATGGCAGTAAAGGTTGCTACTTGTGACCACGTGGTGGCTGCTACGTTGTAGTCGTTGTGATAACGGTGCTCCACGACGATGGGGTTTCTGTTGCTGTCATGTTGAACCTCAAGGACTGTCTTCGTGAGGCCACGTCCTCGTCTCCGTTCTCTAATCCAAATCCTTAAACTATGGGGTTTCGTTCGTCGTGGTTTCAGAATTTCCAATCCTTGTATCTTTACTCCAGGGACTAATCAAAGAATTTTTCTAGGAAAAATTTCAGTGACTAGGAGCATATGAGAAATTCAACATAACAAAAAATTCCAAGAACCAAATGTGAGAGTCTTCTTCGAGCAAGTGAATCAGGCTCTCAAATAAAGAACCAATTTGTGGTAACAAATTTTTATCGTCTTCGATCTTAACGAAAATGTACCTATAAAACAATCAACACCTTTGATCAAAGACCAAAATCTCATGCGCCCAGGAGTAGTTGGGGGGTGGGGGGAGGGCAAGTTGGCCAATTTGATCTCCGATGGCTAAGTTAGTTCCTCTAAAAATAGTGAGTGTTTAGAGCTTTTTTTCTAGTAGCAAAAGCTTACACAAAGTTGGTAGAGATGGAGGTATTTATAGGGGAGAGGGTCGGCCATAGTGTTATGGTTTTGCCCTATACATGGCGCCTTCCTCTTTATTTCTTCTTGTTCCCGCTTCAAGGAGAGGCGATACTTCTGCAAAAAATAACGCTTAATAAAGAAGTACCAAGCAAAGATATAATTTGTTGATGTTTCTTGTTATATGAATTTGCAAAGAAGCAAACCTGCAAATGGCTTGAAACATTTGCTTTCCTCAGGCCGGGGACACTCATGTGCTGAAGTATTTTCTTTGGATGAGCACCTAAATCAAGAAACAAATTAGCTGCCATAGATTTAATGGCACCAAAGAAAAAATAAAAATTCATCACAAAAACTAATATGAAGACTCTACGGACGTGGGTGTAACCACGTTGGCTAGAGTAATATGCTCCTGCCTATTACCCAAAGTTCAAGTCTCCCTCCTCCGCAGTTTAGATTAGTTTAAAGTACCGAGAAAAATATGAAGAGACTCTTACTATCAACTCCCATCAATTTAACAGCTTGCAAGAATTTCTTATTAAGCTCATTAGTCCAAACCATCTTTGGCTTCTTTTGGGTAAAAGTTGAATCAGAGTTATCTCCTCCCTCATCTTTGTCCATCCACTGTGGATTTTTCCGTTTCAGGGATGTTCCTGATCTGCTTTTCTTTCTTCATGGATGATTCAATCTCCAAACCCTCACTTGATGTGTTCTCCTGTTGGAATTCATCACTGCTGTCCTCTGCGGTGACATCTTTCACTGCATCTCTATTGTTGATGAATGCAAATTGCCGTAGGTTTATTAGGCTGTCCATCGTGAGTGGTTTAACAATGTAATATATTGCACCCTTGAACAGCCCACCTAGCACTAGCATGGCATTCTCATCATCATCATCTGACATAACTGCATAAAATAAAGGAAGTTAAAACGTAAAAAACGAAAATTAATTGAATGGAAAGTCCATCGACATATGATATAAGAGGGGCCTAATTCTATGCACTAAATGGTGACAAACTTGGCTCCTCAAAGGAGTCATTTCTCCTTTAACGATGTAAGTGATATCATTTCAGTGTAAAAACGTTATATTCAAAACCGTTAATCTTTTTATCATCATTTAAAAATCATATATAAAAAGATTAAATTTGATTTGGAGACCGTTTATGAATAAACAAATATGGACGGCTAAATAGTCTCCAAAGTTCATGAGTTTTTCTACAGTTGATCTTTAAATGATATTAAAGAGAATGAAGGGTTCCATTATAACAAGTATAGTAAAATGAAAAGTACTAACAATGGTGTTACAGACGTTGGGTACACCAGTTGGCTACGGATAATGTGTATTAATCCCTTTTTCCATAAATTAGAGTGGTTTATAATACCGTCTTGTTAGCAAAAGAAAACAGTGGTGTCTTTGAGAGTGAGGACTTACTAACAACTGGTAATTTGGAAACAGCTCTCAGTTTTTCTAGGAGCTCATATTTATCCATGTCAGGCAAGTGAACCTCGGTCAGAACAAGATGAAGCTCGTCTTCCTTCTTCTGAGCAACGGATAATGCATCACAAGCTCTTTTTTCTGTCAAAACTGCTAGGAATTAAGAGTAAATTAAGTTGGACACTATCAGGGAGAAAAATAATTAAAACTCAACAATCATACCAAATTCAACCAGAAAAAAAAAGAGCGAGAAGAGAAAAGTCTGGTTTTCTGCCGGTTACCTTTATACCCCAACTGACAAAGCATTCTTGATAGTAAAGTAAGACATGCTGAATCACCATCAACAGCCAAAACATTGACACCTTCAAGTACTGGAGTAGAGTTCTTCATAGATTCAAGCGAGGCGGCTTTCTCATCGTTCATGGCTTCGCGCAGTTGCTATAATCTTGAAAAAGAGAAAAGCGAAAAAGAACCCATAATTTGTGTAGTGATTTCACTGATTGGAACTGGTTTTACGGTAGAAGTTTGAGGCTGAGTGTTGTAATCACATACCTGAAGAAACTAGTGTTGTGTATGAGAAGTATTGTTAATTACAATGCCGAGGAGGTAAACACTTTATTTCTTCAGCAAATCAGGTAAGTTGGGAATAGATTTGAGCATCCATAGCCACAGGTTTTCAAATATTTTGAACAAGTAGCTATATAGGGAGACCAAATTTAAAAAGAGATTGTAACAATAATCATTACAAAGTCAAATGTAAAATTAGCATGATAATCATCTTTAGGAACAACTGCCATTTATAGAACAAGAAGAAGAAGGTCAAGGGCAACTAATAAATTTCCAAGTTTGAAGATTGTAAATTCTTTAACATACATGTGTTTTTCTTTTTCTTTCAGTTACCCTCCTTTTAAGGATTTGTTTTGACAACAAGGTCATGTACATTTCGATTCCCTTTATGGCATGTTTACTTACTTAGAATGAGGCAAGTTAAGAACAGAGTATGAGATGAACTACCTTCTTATTGCTCTTATTCATAATTTTTTCAGTATTAAATTATGAATTGTAACATGAAAACAACGAACTTTAGATTTTGTATGCTTTAGTAAACACATGGGCGCATGGGGAGTCAGGAATCAAAACAACATCTATTTCAAGTAAATAAACATGTCATTAGCAGCAGCATACATGAGAATTGCGGCGCAATGAAATGAGTTGTAACGTACAGTTATGATTCTATATGCGTTTGTCAAGAATTAAAATTATTTTAATATTTATTTCAAGTAAATAAACATATCATTAGCAGCATAATTAATAATTTGGGTGCTCTAACGCGTAGTCGTGATTTTGTATGCATTAGAGAAATCATGAGTAAGGAATCAGAACAATTTCATCATCTATTTAAGTAACTAAACATGTCATTAACAACATGATTAAGAATTTCAGCGTAACGCATCTCTAGTGTATAGCCGTATTATGTTACACGAAAACCTAAAAATAGGCAAGGCACACAATAGTTTAAACAAAAAACCAAAATAGGCGCCGTTCACAATGATCTAACGAAAACCCAAAATTCTATAAGAAGGCAAGAAAATGAGGAGCGCACTATGCAAAAAAAAACCTAGAGAAAAGGTTGAAAAAGGAGAGCGCGACAAGCTTAGTGGCAAGCTTGTCTAGTTAAAACATAACATGTGTCCTAAACACTTGACCATGCAGTGCCAATTGCAACACTTTTTCCATATCAAACTACAAGTCGTTTGAGATTTGATTTCACTATTTTAATATTTATTTCAAGTAAATAAACATGCCATTAGCAGCATAATTAATAATTTTGGGGTTCTAACGTGTAGTCATGATTTTGTATGCATTAGAAAAATCATGAGTCAGGAATCTAAACGATTTCATGATCTATTTCAAGTAAATAAACATATCATTAACAAAATGATCAAGAATTTCAGCGTAACGCAATGGCATCTCTAGTGTATAGTTATGTTATGTTACACGTAAACCTAAAAATAGATGTCGCACACAATAATTTGAACAGAAAACCGAAATAGGCGCCGCTCACAATGATCTAATAGAAACCCAAAATTCTATAAGAACAAGGCAGAAAAATAGAGAGCGCATGTGTCGTAAACTCCTGACCATGCAGTGCCAATTACAACACTTTGTCCATATCAAACTACAAGTCGTTTGAGATTTGATTTCACTAGATGTCAATTGGAACTCGGAATTTACATCAATGTAGGATAATAAACCATCGGACTTGAGATAGCACCATAGCAAAACAAAGTGAGGTAGCTTTACAAAATTCCAAATAAACACACCACAAATCTTGCCTTGCTCACTTAATGAAGATGCAAAAACCTTAAACCCTATGTTAACCTAAACCCTAAATCTTTACAAAAAGGAAAATACACATGCTGAGCTCATGAGGGATCGAAGGACTCACTTAACTAGACATCTTAAATTAATATTCCTAAATAGCTGCAGCAAAGGGCCTCAAATCTGAAAATGCCTTAGTCAAACAAAAGACGGCGTCTCACAGACTTGGGAAGATTTGAACTCGATGGACTTCTCTTTTCTTTGCCGGTTTCAGCTATCTGACTATCAGTATTCTGCGTTAGGTCTTCTCCCTGTTCCGTCTCATATTGTTTTTTAGCAGACCGGAAGAATTCTGTGATATTTAGCTGAACGCCTTTTGATCCTGCTGTTTCTGGGTTTCCACCGGTTGCTTTTCTTCTTTTCATTTCTTTCAGTTCCTGCAAGTTTCAGGTCTGTAAGATTTTGCTAATTCATAGCAGGGCACAATCATAATTTAGTGCCCAAAAAAGGATTCTTGGTGAGAGATGGTAACAAAACCATACATAAGAAGAAAAAAAACAATAAAAGGGAGGGAGATTACACCTTCTCCAGCAAAAATCTGTCAACTTCCTCCGGGAAAGCAGCATGGACGAGGTCCATATTTTCATCGGTCAACAAAAAGCAGCACCCGCCACTCATATCTATTGTAGGAACATCAGGCTCATCCAATGAACTAAAGGATTCATCAACCACCATAACATCATCTTGCTGTATATCCGACTCCTCCAGAGGGATTGGGTAACTGACACAACATGATGTAGGTGCAGTTTTTTTCCACTTGACCACATAATACTGGTGCCCATATCTTATTTTCAAGCGATTTATGGAATTGAACTCATACTGCCCATATAACAATTTTTTCACAGGATATTTAGCCATTTCCCTCAAAACAATGGTTGACAACATGGGCAGCATCCTCTGGCGAATATAAGATGGTTCCCACCGCTGATGATAAGTCAAGAACTCAATCAGCATCTCAGTCTTTGGACTTTCCCACGATATGATAGGACCGCCATTTTCTGTGCAAAAATTTTAAATCATGATTGCACACTGAAATTGGCAAGATACATTCACTAAACAACATATGCAAGAGAGAAACTCCTTTCTGAAAAACAAATGTTTTCTTGAGCCCTACTGGATCCATGCTTGTAAAAGAAATTGTTCTACATTTATAGCAAGTATGGGAAGAATGTCCAAAAATACCATTGAAGCAACCATGGTTGTTGCACAAGTACATTTCAATAATCTCATCATTGGGGAAATTTGGCTCCAGTGCAATCTTGCTAAGAACTTTCAATCGCCAATTCTCATTCTTCTTCAGCTTCTTTTCTTTACGATCCTACCATTACCATAAAATGCTTATACTTCAGGACAGATGCAGAAAACATTGCTAAGTATCGTAACAGACACTATCTGTACTGAACTTATGATGGGGCACTACTATGTTGATATATGATATAACATACCAGAAAGAATAATATACTCATGGTGATACCTAAGTATCAGAGGGGAAAATCAATATACCATATCACAGGAAGAGCAACTGCATTTGAACCCTCTGACCTTTTCATGCAACCCTCACCAACTGCATTGCTACAAAATTCACAGGAGGACTTGAGATGAGCTCGTTTGCTGCCAGGATGCCCACAAAAAGAACAATGAGAAAATTTTGTCTTTGATGGGCTCTCATCCAAACTGGGTACACTATCATCCACAGATTTCATACCACCTTGAAAGAGAGAAGCATCACCATTGCCTATTTCACATAACCTGCATGACATGTGATCTTTAATTTTTTTTCATAAAACAGTTTAAGCAAAAAAGAAACCATGTATAAATCCAATTAGTATCATACCTATTTAATATCTCATCTTCACTAAATGTTTGGGCAAAACGAAGAGCTGTATCAAGCCCAATGCCTTGAACCCCATTTAAATCATGGTCATTTCCAGCCAAAAGAGAGAGAGCAATCAAGTGGTTCCTCTTCAAACCAAGACCAGCTTCGATATCTGACATATAGTAACATTCAAATGGTTCCTACATACACAATGAGATTCTCTTAGTGCATAAAAAGATAATAAGGCACGAGAACTGGCAAGAGAAAAGATATGAGTTCAAAAGCATAAAAATTACATATGAAAAAGCAGAAACAAGTGCTCAAGCAGGGGACAGTTAAAACTTACTGAAACATTAATACTTACTTTGGAATTAGATCGAAAAGTTTTTATTACACATTTTGCCCCAAAGAGGAACGCATCACTGTCAGATGTAATGCAAGCATCTACATGACCATCGCCATTTAACTGGGCACACAATGCTTCAGCCTCTCCTTTTGCTTTTAAAACAGGCATCCCAAGAAGTTCAAGTAGTTCCTACAAAACCACCTTTAGTAAATAACTGATAAGCATTCCAAATGCCTCACCAACTAGCCAAATTTTGTCTAATTTGCACAAAGAAATATTACATATTCTAACAGGATTAAACAGATCATAAAACTTCAGGGAAAAAAAATGAGCACAGAATTTCAAAAAGATGAACAGATGTTGAAAAAAAGACAATTAAAGTATCAATAAGCATGGATACTCAGTCAAGTACTAGACCATGAGCAAACGAAGGGTTGCCATTTGGTACAAACAACACATTGCGTCAAAGTTCCAAAACAGTACTAAAAAATACAAACCACAGTTTTTAATTGATAACATAATCACAACATCAGAAACAACTGACCACACATTCTTGAATATACTTCGTAAATGTGCTATTCCTCTCAGCTGAAACACCATTTTCAGCAACTGGCAAACTCGATGAATCAATACCAGAAGAACGAAAGAACCTTGCAATCCTCGCCTGAGACTTTAAAGGCGATGGAGTTCCGTCAAGCACAAAGACCGGAAATGCCCCAAACTGCATAAACACTGAACAATAATTAAGCTCTCTCTCAATTAAAAGCCTCCAACTTTATATAAGCTAAGCAACAACAAAAATCGACATCGTCAAAAATGAAAGAAAAATTACTGGGATTAAGACAATTCATATCAATTAACCAACATTCAGCTTCAATTTTGAAGTAACCCCTCCGCATTTCCCAAACCATTAAACCAAAACACAAAAAATTAAAACCAAATTTCCAAATTTTTTTTTTTTCATTTCCTTCCAAATTTCCAATCAATGAAACATACCCTTTTAAATTTTTGAATCAAAGATTATATAAACAAACTAAAATCCCAATTCCAAACAAACCCAACTTTTGTTTATGAATTTCTCTTCAGAAAGCAATCAGAAAATGCAAGCGGACAAACAAAATACTGAACCTTGGAGAAGAGATTGATGGTACGGAAGAAGGTGAGCCTGAGGTGGGGACTTCGTGCGCGGTCCTTGATGGCGGCTTCGTGCTGTACGATCCAAAAGGAGAGGTCCACAGCAACCCGCTTGTTCCTTAAGAAATCAAAACCCTCGTTTCGGGCGTAGGGTTTTAGCAAGTCCCAGAATTTACCCCCGACTCCCATTGCTTTTGGAATTTGCAAATATGGGTCTGAGAGAAGTGAAGCCGCAGAGTTGGCTTACATATTCATCGCACTAATCACTGAGTGAGAAGGACGAAGAAGATGAACGAATCAGAAGAAGATTATGTGTCGTTTGGTTTTGCACCGTTGGCGTTGGGTCGGCTTTCAATTCGGGCGGGGTGAATTTGGGTTGGACTACGGTTTTATGAATTTATCAATAGCACGTTTACATGACCGCTGATGGTTGGATATATTCTTTAATTATTTAAATAAGAAATTCAACTATAAATTACCGTATCATATGGTTTACAAAATATAATTTAAATATATTATTTCTCTAGCATCACCCTTTACGCATTAGGAATGTGAAAACTAAAAGATGAATTTGGCATCAACTACTCTCTTATGTCATCTCATTCCTAGTATGAGTGTATTGGATTTCTTTTGGCTTTTTAGCCAAAATGATCATTGAGATTGGCTTAACTCCTCATTTTGATCCTTGAGATTTGAAGTCGATAGAAGTGGTCCTTCAATTTATCCACCATAAATCATTTTGGTATTTTTGTGCAAAATCTTTATTAAATAAAGATAAAATGACAAAAATATTCTTCGTTTTTGTCAAATCATTTTGACCTATTGTTTATTAAATTGAGAGTATTTTTTTTTTTCTTTATTGTCCTTATTTAACATTTTTTTTCTTCTTCATATAATGATCAAAAGGATTGATAGTAAACAAACTCAAGGATCATTTCTATCGATTTCAAATATCAATGATCAAAAAGAATAATTATGTTAATTTTATGTACCATTTTAGCTAAAAAGTTTTTTTTTTCTTTTCTTGTTGGTACAAAGTATTGGATTATTGTCTTTAAGGTAAGACACATTTTTTATTTCTTATATGTTTTTTTTTTTTTTTTTTTTTTTGAAAGATTTCTTATATGTTGGTAACGTGAAAATGTCATTACTTGACATGACTTTCTTTCTTGTCGCACAATCATACTCATTTTTGCTAATTAAACATGTCATCGATTTTGAGAGTTGTATATTCAAGAAGTTGTTGATTTCAAACACCAAGACAACGTTAGAAGTCTGATGCTCCTTGGAAAGAAAGGGTGATCTTTCTTTTAGCATACTAGTTTTTTTTTTTTTTTTTTTCCCCATCTTCTTAAGGAGATGTTTTATTTCAAGTGCCGTAAGAAGGTGAGCAACACGACCAAGCAAGTGGTGGACTCGATGTATTCAAGTAGGCAGAGCAGAGACAAATTAAGATTTGTTGCCTTCGGCAGTAACACAATAAGAGCGATCAGCAGGATGTAGTCTATATTTTTTGTGGTAATTTTCCCTTGTTTGTTATTCATTCCTTATGTGACTCCATGCTGAGGTTGAAATAAAATTATTTTTTGGCTATAAATTTTATTTTAGATTTCTATCTAATCAGTATTTGGTAATTTACTGCAGTTCGTTCTATATATTCATTTGACAAAAGATCACTAAGTAAAATTACCGTCTCAAAAATGAAGTGAGGATTGACGAGCAAACGTGGATTAAGCTAGTTAATTATGACAATGTGGTTGCCCACTTAAACTCAAGTTTGATTCCTGCTTCCCATAGAATAGTTTAGATTAACATCGCTTTGTAAAAAATAGTGGGAGTGTAGATTAATATTAATCAAACAAATGGAAAGAAAAGGGAGGGGAAAAAAGGAAAAGTTGGAATTTAATAAAAACAAAAATTCTAATGCGGTGAAGGTGGATCGAACACCTGACCTTCAGATCTTCAGTCTGACGCTCTCCCAACTGAGCTATCCCCGCAGTTGTCTTTCATTTGAGTTCAATAAATATTTAGTACCTAGATTAGTTAATTAAATGCAATTATAAATTTTCGTGTCGTTGACCAACGTTAGCGACATGTTTATTTGCGTGACATTCACTGTGTGTGTAGGAGTCTGTGTAGTTATTTTTCTTCAGGTACTGTTTATATTTAATTTTAGATAAAAGATTTATAATAATTTTTTACCACACGATGTACAATAAACTAATTTAATTTGAAGACTTCCGAATCCTTACAAAAAGGATCCAGCGAGGTTCCTCATTCTAGAACAAATACAATGCCTTCCAAAATTCCATGGTTTTGTAGCTTTCGAGGTTAACAAATTATAAATAAGAAGAGAGGAACCAAGAGTTTTTTAGGCTGTGCTAGCTAGCAGCTTGTACAAATGTTAAATGTAGTCAAACTAGAGTGCATTTTTGCTCCACCCTGTTGTAATGCTTATCACACTATTTATCATCGTTCAATGAGTTTGAATTTTAAGATTTGTGCATATCTACTACACGAGTCTCGAGATTCAAACTCATCTAACTGCTATAAATAAGGTGGTGAGTATATATCATAGTCTATAGTGATGAGCAAAAATGCTTCCAACTTAAATGAGATGTTTTATTTTGGATAAATTACACAAAATTACCTCAATTATGAGTTGAATTAAAATATCATACCTCATGTTTTAAACATTGCAATATCATACACCAACTTATGAATTCGTTGTAATATCAGACTTCCGTTAAATTTTATGACAATTTGGCTGTTAAGAAGATCTGCAGGAACGGGGCCCATTCATTTGCCTAGTGGAATAAATTAATAATTTTTCATTTAACAATTTAAATTAATTAAAAAACAAAAAAAAAAAATCTCTCTTCTTCGTTTTTCCCAGAACCCGTTCGTCCTCCCCTCCTCTCTGACTGCCCCTGGTACGCATCCAACCAGTTACTCCCCGACGGATGCGTCATCGCCGTCGGAGGAAGAAAAGCCTTCTCCTACTAGTTCTACCCCAAGAAAAATGACAAATTGTACAACAAAATGTTCTACTTCCGGTTCTTGGCGGAGACCGACGACCATGACAAGGAACTCCCGGGTATGCCTGTCACCGTCAAGCGGAACTACCCAGTACGGGGTCCTCCGTCCTCCTCCCGTTCAAAATGAACGGGCTCCCAAATGATCTGGCAGCAATTTTTTCCTCCTAAAAACTGCTGATAAATTGGGAAATTTGGAGATTTTGGCCCCAAGTATGAATGGGTTCAGGGGAGAAAGGAGGGAAGGAGATTTCGGACAAAGGTATGAAGGGGTTATGGGGAGAAATGAGGGAAGGAAGAACGGGTTTTAGGGAAAATGAAGAAGAGAAATTTTTTTTTAAGGGGAAGAAGAACGGGTTCTGTGGAAAAAGGAGGAAGAGAGATTTTTTTTTTTTTTGTTTAATTAATTTAAATTTTTAATAAAAAACTATTAATTTATTATTAATTAATTATTATTTTATTCCACTTGAGAAATAAGTGGGGTTCGTTCCTATCACGTCATCATTTAATAATCAAATAGACAGAAAATTTAACAGATCACTGACATTGCAATAAATTCATAAGTTGATGTATGACATTGCAATGTTTAAAACATGAGGTATGAGATTGTGATTCGATCCATAATTGAGATAATTTTGTCTAATTTACCCTAAGCTAGTTTTGTGTAATTGATCCTTTTAAGTTTAATTTTCATAAATGAATGATGACTTTGATACTAATTATTATTGGTCTAACCCCACACACTATACTATTGTATTAAAAGAAAAATGTCAGATCATTTTGCTATACTCCTCCTTAATTAAATACTAGCATTTACCTACACATTTTGTATGTATGAACACATTTTTTTAGAAAATGAGAAGGAGAGAGGGGGAGAGAGAGAGAGAGAGAGAGAGAGAGAGAAAACATTGGGGGAGTGGGAGGTTTTTGGTTTTGGTTTTGGTTTTTTATTTTTATTTTTTTTATTTTAATATTGGAAGTATTTTAACATTACTTGTAGGTGAGACTTCAATAAAAAAAAAAATGGAGTTATGAAATTACATTATTGCCCTTTTTTATGTGATAGAAGACTAATTTATCTTTTCATTCTCTTTTGGTTGACAAAGATAGTTTTATTAATTAGTAGAGATAACAAAGAAAATATATGCAAAAGAGTGAAAAGTAATGTTTTAAAACATCAATAACAATTTCCTATTAAAATATATATTTTATTATAAGGGGGAGAGTTCAAAACTATTACAATAATTTGACGGAGAATTTTGAATCTATGACGCATGAGTAGAAACCCAACACCCTATCTACTAGAATGTTGAACCACATGCAGATCAAGTTTTGGATACTATGAATTTAAATTGATAATATTAAAAAACTAACAAAGAAAACGGCGAGGATGTATGTATTGGACTTGTGTCTTGTAACAGACATTTAGACAGGGAAACAAATTCATGACTCATGAAGGGCAAGGCATTGAAAGCTGACAAAGTCATAAACTCAACTCAAACTTTCAATATAAGTTGTGGATTTTATGCAACAAATTAAAAAGTGAGAAATCTTAGGCTCTATTTTGGCCAAAAGCGAAGTTGAACCACATTACTATGACAAGGCATAACTAACTTCTTCACACTCTTAGTGTAGATACTATCGCTTGTTAAAAAAAAAATACAAATATAAACTGTCATTAAATGGATAAGCATGATATTTATGTTCGTTTATTAATTGGTGTAACCATTAGACCATTGATTCCTCAATTGATTAGGCAATTGATTCTCCTTATTCAATTAGGAGCATTTGCGTAGTTTGCTAGGATAGCCACTCCACTATATAAAGATGGTTGTCTCACCTTGTAACATAGTAAAGAAATTTTCTAATAGAATTCTCCCATCCTCTCTCAAATTATGTTCCTCTACAACACGTTATCAATACTTTTACTCTTACCCGAATCAAAACCTACAGTTTGGTTTTTCTCAACTTTTGGCCTCAAAATTTCAGTTTCTCTAAATTTTGAAGTAGAATTAGTTTTTATTTTTGAATTAAGTATTTTGTTTCATGATTTCAAGTTCATGCCAAACCCGTAATTATATGGTTAAGAACCTCATGAAGCATAAACTTGATTATCATATTTTATTGTCACTTATGTGAAATTTATTTTGTTTTTCATATATCGTTTCATTTTTGCAATTTTGCAAAACCCTCACGATACAAAACATCACCATGATGCATGTTCCCTTTTAATCTAATTTTATGCATATTAAACCGAAAACGATTGTTTGTGAGTTTTCATTATAAACATGTTTATATCATATAGAGGCTAAAGTGATGCCTCAATCACCATT